TAAAATGAAAAACTGAAAATTCCGGAAAGTGTGCATCATAACTAAAACAGGTGGTGTTCTGCTACGCGGTGTAGCGCAGTTTAGCGCCGGGAATATGAAACCCCGCAGTAAAAGGGTTAGTCAGAGTTTATTACGCGTTCCACGGAATTTGATTACGTTTCACCGTATTTGTCCAGCGGACGCTACCAAGACAGCCAGCAGATTTCAATGATAACTTTCGAAACGAGTCTCTGACCTACGACATCGCGTCACATCCGCGACGAAAATTTGTAATTTCTCATTCAAAGACAACTCTAAATACACTTCCTTCTTCAAAACAGAAATTAAACGTTACCACCCCATTACCAACCATCAACCTTCGAACAACATATAAACAACACAAGTATCCAACTGATTTCCTCCCCTACTAAACAATTAACTACAAACCAGCTTCATCAAACACAAACTTAATACAGCATAACACAACCAAAAGCAACTTCCAAACACGCCCTCATTGAAATCCAAAGAGCACTCAAACTTTCCATTCAAAATCGAGCCTCGAAAACACCAAGATCCGAAATTTCCATCTCCCCTTACTTCCGCGGCGCGTTACATGTTTCCCATCCATCCGATTTCCATTAATTCAATATAATTCAATCTCCATCCGCATCGGAGGGATTTAAATTCAATCGAATATCGAATAAGTCGATCCAAGAGCGCTCGTTACAATCCGCAATCCGTCCTTCCGCTCGGAATCCCTTTTCAGTCTTATCTTTGGCAAGAGAAACGTCGCCGGCCGCGTCTCAATAAAACAGGCTGGCTGAGGTCGCGGTTAGGGGCGTGAAAGGGTCGCGGCGGAGGGGTCGCGAGGCCGGGACACCTTCCCGTGTCATCAAGGGAAGCGCTGCCAGCTTTCAATATGATAAGCAGCGGAATTCTCGGCGACTCCGCTTAAGAATTCATCAGAGGATCCCGCGGCCCTCTTATCGCCGCGTCGTCTATCCTTCAATCCCGAACCCTCCGCTCTGCTTTCTGTTATTATTTGTCTTCTCGCCGCTCGCCACCCGGGGGAGAACGAAGACCTTCCGTCTTCGCCACTTTAGCGAAAATTGCACGGCTCTAATATCTTAAGAAAAATGCCGGCGCGCCGTTGAGTATTCACCGTGGCCGGCAATTCCGCTCGCGCGCACGAACTTCGGAAGAAATTGGCCCGACAATTTTCGCGAAACGATCCCGCGGCTTCGGGCCAACGAGCTGCGCCGTGTAATCGTTACCGCGCGCCACGCTTTTATAGGCTTTCATCGGGCGCAACGGCTTCCGACGAGGACGCGTTAAACGAACGTGGACGTGGTTAACGATTCTCTACGGTGCAGACTATTAATATGCTTACCGATGCTTATAGGCGCCCAATTTTCTGCGGAATAAACATTGATTGAGGGCTGTTGGCTTTTGATGGTTGCGTTGGGCTGTGGGTTGACAATTGCGGTGTTCTGGTGATGTCGAGATTGGGGAAGTTGTTTGAGAGAAATCGTTAACATTTAGCTTTGAAACATTGTTCGGAAACTTTGATCCTTTAGCTGTGAAATATAGTTCGAAGAATTTGAACCTTTAGCTTTGGATTATCATTCGATCTTTAGAAAAAATATCAGTTTCAAACTCTAAACGTTATTTAACATATTACGCTTAGTATTTTGCAGCCACGCCCTTTACATTAATAACAGCGGCACCTCGATGCGGCATGGACTCAATTCCGCAAACGATCTGGCCGGGGACTATTGAACGCTGCTATATAGTCGGTCATTAAATTAACGCGGATGAAACGAAGATGATCCGCTCGCGGTTAATAACACGCAGATTATTCCTGGCTCCGCATTAATTCATCCGGTAATTCCTTATTTCGCCGTTGGAACGGGCGCCGTCCTGTAAAATCAAGAAAGGGGTGGAACGAAGGGAAAGGGAGGGTCTAACTCCTCAAGAAATCCCGTGTCCCCCAGGAAATATTCATTTTCCTTTT